GTTACCTTAATGGGGATCTATAGCAAATAATATGGTTTCCTCATTATGGTGACTGAAAATATTCCAGTCAAAGGGGGTTACGCTTTTCGAGGAGGGCTCAACGGGGTCGCGCGTGATGGAGGGGGGAGAGGAAAACAGAGGGCAAAACACCGGCAACCTGTCTCTCTGTGCGTGTGTGTGTGTGTGTGTGTGTGTGCGCGTGTGTAGGCAGGTCATTAAGTACGCAAGTGAGCATGGAAAAAAAGGGCAAGCAGACAAGCAAGCAAGCGAGCGAGCGAGCAAGCGAGCAGGTAAGTAAGCAAGTTGGCAAGTAAGCAAGAAAGTCAAAGCTAAGCATGTGCGATGTAATCATAAACTGAAATGCAGGGCATGTCGTTTCAGGCCCCCGACTGCTGTAGGAGATGGTCATGGAAGCGCCACATTCCTACCCAGCGGTCTCCAACTTCCCTCAACCGGAAGCTGTCTTTGCTGGGGTTTTAGGTTTAAGTTTTTGGGCTTGGCAAAAGAGACCTAAAACAAGAAGCTGCTTCTGCGGATGCTACGAAAACGCTTTATGCCCTTGAAACATATTCCTTACTACAGGTGCCGTCAAACTGCCAGGGCCAGTGCCGACTGCAAAACGAGCAACATGGAACAAGCACGGCAGTGAATGCAACAACCAGTCTCAGAAACTTGTATGCAAGTTTTGATCAATAGACAATGTTACAGGTCAGGTCATTCTACGGCCATGTGAGTTACTCGCCATGGTGGCGAGAAAGATAGTGCTTTGGCGCCTGGCAGAACTCCCTCACGGCATGCCTGCTGCGAGCGATCAAAAGACGCTCAGTGCTGGAGACAAACACATGCCTAGCTGTGACCGAAGATCTCAAAGCTTTGATCTTGTACGTCGGCCGAGAGAGAGAGAGAGAGAGAGAGAGAGAGAGAGAGACACAGGCATGCCCTTGCCGCCGTCTCTGTACAACAAGAATAAGATGGAGCCCAAGGCATGCCTGGCACGGAATAGTAATAGGTGGCCCAAGCATTATGAAGGTTGACATTCAACCCTAGCGCCACCATCGCAACTACTGCGGTCATCAGCATGAACGGCATCACCATCAAGAAAGCGTGAAACTCACACCTGGGCTGTGAGCGCGAGGCTCAGTGCTATCTACCAAGCAGCAGTGTCCCAACATGCTATGTACCACCACCAGTAGCATCAACATGGTCCCCATCGTTGCCCTCGACGCAGCTCTGACGAATGAGCACCGTCTTGAACACGGACATCTTCTGCTGAACCCTGCGCACGTTGAGGCCAGCCCTTGCTTTTGTGTACCAGCTCTTGCGCCAGCGCAGCAGCTTCAGGTTCTCCTGGGCATTTACGGGTTTAGGGGCTAAGGGTTTAGGGGTTTGGGGTTTAGGGTTTAGGGTAACTTTTTTCAGAAGAACGTGGAGGAGTTTCTTCCTGCTGACGCTCTACCGAGCACCCGGTTCCGTAATGCAGCAATGCAGGAACAGTCATGGGTGGAATGCCAATAGCCGTCATCATCATCATCATCATCGTCATCATCATTCTCCTATCATTCTCGTCATCATCATCATCATCATCATCGTCATCATCATTCTCGTCATCATCATCATCATCATTCTCATCATCACCGACAGGCTGGTAGAGAGAGGCAGAGAAAGAGAAACTACACACCTGCGATCCTTGGGCCTGAAAAACCCCAAAAATCAATGAAGTTGGGTTGCGAAAGGCGGTTGATGGGGCCGAGAAGTGTAGGGCTACCAAGGTTTCAGGTGTAGATGGTCGACACTGATGCCAGAAATTGCGCAAGAAAGCAAAAACCTTTATCAAGGTGGACCCTAAACCCTAAACATCCCTAAACCTTAAAGCAACCCTCTAAGCGGCCTCTTCGAAGCCGTCCGGTGACTCGCAGCGCGTGAGGCGCCTTCGGAGCCTTTCTGAGGGTCGTGGCAGCAGGGCCTCACAGAGGCGCGGGGCTTCATGTCTGCTGGGTTTAGGGTTTAGGGTTTAGGGGTTTAGGGGTTTAGGGGTTTAGGGGTTTAGGGGTTTAGGGTTTTTTTTTGAGGGCCTTTTTCCGTCTGCTAACTCCTAGCTCGGGAATCTGCGTGGCAGAAGGCAAGTACCCGACCAGTCAACCCTTGAGGCCAACACTTGACGAGCACCTTTCAGAAAAGACTTACTGTACATGCCCCTCTCAGCTTCCACGGTCACCCTGCTCCTCCTTGACCACATCCAACCCTGCGTCACTGCCACCTGGTGCCCTATGTCCATCCCGATCTCTTCGTCGAGCAGTGCGCACTCGTCCCATCTAACCAAGTGCTCCAGGAGAACCCTCCCCGCCGGAAGCCCTTCGTCTCGAATCAACCTGAAGGCCTCCAACCACGTCTCCCCATAGATCTGCAACATTTAGGGTTTAGGGTTCTTGCTAAGGGGATTTGTAATTTTAAGTTAGCATCATGAGAATCTATAGGAAGTAACATGGTTTCCTTGTTATGGTAACTTAGAAAAAGAGGGGTTTCTTTTGTAAACAACAACTCTATTTAATTCAAGTTACCATAATGGGGATCTATAGGAAATCATAGGGTTTCTGTCTTATGGTAACTTAAAATTAAATCTGCTTTCTACCTGGTGCTGAGGGCTTTAGGCTGCTGTTGCTTTCAGGGGCTCAAGGGCTTTTAGGGTTTAGGCTTTGGGGTTTAGGGTTTAGGATCCGCTCTGTGCTGGCACGAGAAGAAGAGCTGCGAGTCCATGCTCCCTCTGTTTCCAAAAATGGCTTGTGCTAAACCCTGAACGACAAAACCCTAAACCCCAAGTAGCTGTGCAGACATCCAGCTTGGACCGAGTGATCCGACAGACCCGGCAAGGCCTCCAAGACTTCGTACTCCGGCGACATCACGTCCTTCCTTGGGAATGCAGCTTCCCACCCCTAACCCCTAAACCCCTAAACCCCTAAACCCTAAACCCCTAAACTTTAAACCCTAGGACAAGCCAGGGTCGAAGGCAGTGAGAACTTGGAGATGACTCGTTTACGGGCGACCTCAAAATCTGCCCTTTGATGGAGTTGGAGGCGCTGTACTTGTCATTTCTGGTTGGATTTAGGATTTAGGGTTTAGGGTCACAGTTGGTGATGCTCGTGGTTGTGGTGCTGGTGCTGGGGCGGTCATGGCAGTGGCGCAGTAGCCGCAGTGTCATTCGTTCACGGCTGTCGTCGTCGCCGCAAGAACTACAAGTTTCGAAATATTTCCACGATCTCTCCAGATTGCGACCATTGTTCAATAATTCCGTGTTGCCAGACGTATCATTGGCTTCATATTTGCTGTGCTTGTTGCCTTGCCATTGCAACACGTTACATGCAAAAAAAAACAACAAACTTGAGTCCTGTGCAACCCCAGGGGCACTGCGTCGATCAGCGATGGCTGCGAACACAGAGGTGCTCTGTGCCTCGACCAGAAGACATCCGATGTGGCTAACCGTTTGCGTGGTTTTGGGCGAGTCTCGGAGGGTTTAGCTTCTGTGTCTGGGTCCGGACTGCCAGGTCATCTTGTAGGCCACTGTGTGCATTCTCTCGCAGCTAGAAGTCCCCTGTGAAAGGTGGCCCCTCGGCCTCACCCGATGCTCATAACGTTCGAAGTTTCCAGGCGTTAGCACAACCCAGCCATCGTTTTCTAAGGGTTGACGATAGCGAAGAAGCAGTCGATGGCCACGACTGATTGTGATGGTGATGGCGATGGTGAGGATCATGGTGATGCTGATGATGATGGAGAAGGTGGTGATGTGATGATGATGATGATGATGTCTACGACGACGACAATGAGGTCACTCAATCGTCGCTCTTGACAACTCCGCCACCAATCCAAGTATGGAAGACACCCAGGACTTGCTTAGGAAAGTATAGACTTCATCGAAATTGATCCAAGACGTCCGATTTTCAGTCTGACATGCTCTGCGATTCAACTGCCAGCCCTGATTTTAACTGTTCAACCCTTCAATAAATGCTTGCAAGGCACTGCCCGCGGGAGTTATAGCGCTTGAGACGTGCACGAGAAGGAAAAGACCTCCACCGACAGACGTCTGGCTCAACAAGCTGCACCAAGAAAACGAGCATTGACAGGAAGAAGGGAAACTAGAAGAGGCAAAGAGAAGAACAACAAGAACGACGTGAGAAAAATTGCAACAAGAATGAAACTTGGAAAGAGAGACAGAGAGGGAGGGAGAGAGAGAGAGAGAGAGAGAGAGAGAGAGAGACAGAGATATATACATATTTATTTATTTATGGGCTTGCAAAAGCAGTGAATGGCGTTCGGCTGATGTTGAAACCGGAATCGGAGATATTGTTACGGCCCAGGGCAAGCAAGGCACCCCAAGTCCAGGAAACGGGCTGCACGTTCAAAGGTCTCAGGGTCAGTGAGGTCGTCCTGCCCAGAAGTGCAGCTTAGGATTGAAGGCAAAGCCTACACGACTGGATGAATCAAGTCAGCTGCATCCAAGACAAGCAAGTCCTTCAGCCGAGACGGGAAGCAAACTCTTTAAATGCAAGGGCACAGGAAGGGACCGAGCTGTGCCTCTAAGGGCCTGAGACATAGGTATGACCCGGCTTCTTGCTACAGGTGGCTGACGCCACCTTAAACAATCCACAGCATTCTGTGCCCACCACCGGGGAACGGATCTGCTCGATTTTGGCTTCCCCAGATGGACAGAATAAATTTCAACCCCTCACGACTCGCACAGGAGACGGCGCCCGAAAGCCCACTGAAGCGGCTGAGACTCCTGTCCTTCTCCACGACGAGCAGGTGATCGCCGAAGGATCTCTTCATGGAGGCCAGCGCTGCGCCGAAGCGCAAGTACCTCTCCGCGATGTCGACGAGACGCTCAGAGTGGGCAGAGGCATATCAGCATCTGCAAAGAAACCGGAAGAAGAATAAGGAGGAGGAAGCCAAAACAGCAAGTGCTCCGAGACTTAACTTCTCTTCCCAAGCTATCGAAACCAGAGCTCCCTAAGGAGGCCACCTTCTTTTCCAGGATCACCCGGAACCAGAGCATCAAACTCCCACTGTGGTTGTTTGCACTTGGGTAGTTCTCTACATTAGGGTCCCTCTTTAGGTCCCCAACATAGTACGGGGCACCCTTATAAAAAGGACCCTAAAAGGGACCCTATTTTTTGGAAAGCTACGTCACTTAGGATCAAGAGACACGGGAACCTGCAGTCTTTCAGGGAAGAGCATCTTAGGAAGGCCGTTTTCTTGGGTATGCCTCCTGTGCATGCAACATCATGTAGTGACTGTAGTGACCTTGTGTCATGATAGTTGTCTTGCCATTGGGGGGGTGTGATGTTTTGACATGCTTGATCTTCGAAACATTTCCGCTATAGTTCAGGTTGTTATTGATGCTTGTGTTGCTCTTCTCCGTTCTTGCTGCACGCTTACTTTTCAGACTCAGGCGAAGAACCCAGTCTTGTCCTCCAACTTGCGAGCCATCAGCTCCTGACCACTTCCAGGGGTGTGGGGGGTCTTTCTGAGCTCAAGCCTTTCGGGAAGCTGCCACATGTGAACCCTCGCGCAGGACCCTAAACCCCTAAACCCTAAAACCCTAAGCCCTAAAACCCGAAACCCTCTAAGTCTACCGCTCCTGGAGTTTCGGAGGGTTGGCGTCGTGCTCCAAGTGAAGCTTCCTTCGGATCAGAGTATACCCGGTCATGAGGAGGCCAGAAATGCAGTGCTCTCGGTGTCTAAACACTCGGAAGGAACTTGGCCGGCCCATAAATCTGTAAATCTCATACCTCCAGGAGCTGAATCTCGAGTTGATGGAAGACTTCAACGACCAAAAGCAGCAGCTGCACAAAGACAGCCTTTGGCAAACTGCCGCCATTCTGACTACTGCTTATGCGTATTCAAGCTGTGGTCTTGCTGCCTTTTTGGGCACCTGATGCTCCTGATCTTGCTCATCTGTTGATGTTACTCCCCCGGCTGCCGCGACAAAGCCGCTGTGGCGGCTGCTGCTGTGGTGTTGTCGCCGCTTCAGGCAGTTTTCATTTCCACTCAGGCGCTGTTGCCGCTGTCAATCTTGTTGCATCACATGATATTCTTTCCGATACAGATACTAGAACTGCTATGGCTAGTGTCGCTAGTGCTACAACACCTACAGCCATTGCTATCATCGCGACAGTCTCCACTACACTGATGATGGCCAGGTTGGTTGCACGTCATTACCATTGCAGGTTGGTTAGATAGACGTCATCACCTTTGTTCCATGGCCAACACTTGCCGCCCTCCCTCGCAGCACTTAACCCAATGCGAGCCTCTCGAAGCGATCCACCGGGTCGCACACGGCCAGCACCTCAAGTAGAAGCCATAAAAAGGGATGGATGCAGAAGGGGAACTTAGACTGTGCACGCACAGCTGATGTCAGAAGTCTTGTTGCTCTTTGGGTCTTGTTGGTACTCTAGCCCTTCTCGTCAGCAGTCCTCTGGACCTCAACAAGTAAGACTTTCAGTGTGCCGGATAACACGGCGAACAGAACCACACTTGCCACCATAGTCATAGAAGTGCAGGCAAAAGAGCCCGCTGCTTGGGTTCGTGACACAACGTGCGATGTAAGCATTCAGGACAGCTCCCTTGCTGTAGCTGTTCCCAAATGACCGGACAGGGATTTGAGGTCAGGATTCAGGAAGTATTGAGTTGGTATTTGGCGGGACGCTGGGCTGCAGACTTTGAGGTTCGGGAGGGGCATGAGCCCACTTTCTGCGAGACTGAAACCCAAAGACCCAGGAACGGAAAGCGAAGGATAAAGAGTGCATAGATAGACCCTAAACAGACCTAGTCCCAAGACCATGGATGCCCCAAGCCTTAATCTGGGTTCTTGCTAGGGGACTTTATTTAAGCTACCATAATAAACAAACCATACTAGTTACTATACATCCCTATCATAGTAACTTGAATAAAAAAACCTTAACAAGAATCCAGTAATGTCCTCTTTGGCCGACAAAGCTGGGGGCAGAGGCTCGGACGATTCGCATGCCCGGAATCAAACTGAACACGAACTCCAGCACTTCCTGGCACAAGGGTCCCCATGTGCCCGCTCTGTTCCTGTTCTTCTCATCATTGCTATTTGTACTACCATCCTTGTTGTTGTTGTTGTTAACTATTGTTGTTGTCCGCGCGCGTGACGATGTTCGCCTTCGTGTGGTTCAACGTGACAGTAAGCTACGCCCTACCAATAAGTCAAAGTTACACTGTGCCCACCTCACGCCACATGACGGGCTGGTAGACGCCGAGACGCTTCACCTGAGGACGCAACCAGCCATGAGCTTCATGGAGCCCGGATTCCAACAAACGCGCTGAACGATAAGAGGCGACAAGAGGAAGGTGACTTCAATCTCGCATACTTCTCACCCCGTCCCCCCTTCCTAGCAGCAGAACGACTCCCAGAAAAGACTGCCAAACAGCATCCAAGCCAAAGGATGGATCCGGACATTAAAAGATCCAAAGGCTGGCCTCGAAGCTATGAACGTGCTTGTGCAACACAGTCACCCCAACCATCGCGTCCCGATGCGCATTGAGCCGCTGCACCTGCTGGAGTTGCGCTCTGGACTTGAGCAGAGAGCTACCAGTATGTTTTGTTTAACCCTTCGACGGACGATCCCTGGCACGCTGTTCGTTGATGATACAGATGCTCAATTGATGCTCAGCTGCAATCCTGGAGAGACACTACGGTGCAGCCGATGAAACAACTGTCCGGTTCTCGCTCCCGCTCGCTTTCGACATTTCAACACCACCTTTATGATGACTGCACAGAGCGTCCGTCAGCCTGCGACATGAGAGGCAAGGTCTGCCGGCCCATCTCCATGAAAAAGAAATCCTCATCCTGCAAGCAGGGAGTCGAAATGGGATCATGCAGGGTTTATCTCCTTCACGCTCCGCCGCAGCTCTCGCGCCTGGTTGTGGACGGACAGGTGTGTGAAGTTGATCTCCTCAGGTAGGCCCATGCGGCACTCCTATCTCTGCGTTGTTGTCTGCCTGTATAGAATGGGAATGGGAATATCTCGATCTCATAGGGAGGACGAAGGCGCCGGATGCTTTGCCAGATTGTGCCGCAAGGACGTGGTGCCGCAACCTCGGATGCATCATGTCTCAACGGCTTGCTGCAACGAAGCTGGACCGGTGACTCCGCGACAATAATGATGCTGATCACTGTTGCAACGGAAGCTACGAACAGCAACGAAGGAGGCAAGAAGAGGAACAAGACGAGGGACAAAAACTCAGATTCGCAAGCATGCTACTACAAGGACTGTCAGAAAGAGAAGCTAAACCGAGCATCATCATTGCCACCACCAGCAAGATCCTCATCTTAATTGTCCTCGCCGTGACCACCATCACTATAGTTAAAACAGTTATGGCCGTCAGAACAGTCAACTGGAACTATCGCCATGAGCCGCGGGAAAGAAACACACCTTCCACTTTGTCACCACGAAAAACACAAAAAAGCCCTGGGAAATCAGAGAGCACGAAGAGCCCCAAGCCTTTGCCTCAAAACAAAACCTTAGGACCCTAAACCCTAAACCCTGACCCCTAAACTCCTAAACCCTACGAACCCTAATAACCCTAAAAGCCCTAAACCCTAGGCCCCTAGGCAGACAGAGACCGCTTCCATCAGCAGCCAGGGGGCCGTCAAGGCCCACAAGGGCGAAGTCCAGCCGGAGGTCGGCCCAGTGCGAGAGCTCCTTTTGGGGGGTTTGGAGGGTTTAGGGGTTTTAGGGCTTTTGGGGGGTTTAGGGGTTTAGGGGGTTTTGGGGCTTTTGGGGGGTTTAGGGGTTTAGGGGGTTTAGGGGGTTTTGGGGGGTTTAGGGGTTTAGGGGTTTTAGGGGTTTAGGGTAAGGGGGGGGCGGCCCTTCTCGCTCTGCTCTTTCGAAAACCACAGGGGATGTGTTGAGAACAGAAAGGAGAAATATGCCTCACAGGTAGATACCAGAGCTGCTGCTTTTGTGGGGCGTTGTTTGCCGCTGAGGGCGGCGGCCCACTGCTGCTGCGGCTGCAGTCTCTTGCTGCTACCGTGATGATGGTGACAATGACGACAGCACCGGACGCATTGCTGACTTGCAATCAATTCAAGACTGATTCACGTGGTTGCGTACTCTACCTACTTTTCACACAGACACACACACACACACTGATGACAATGATGATGGGTACCTTCAAAACGAAGGTGACGGAGAGGAGGATGAACGGTGATGGAAGTCAACGTTTGCGTCGCCACTCCCACGACTGATGTCGTTTTAAATACTAGCTCGTCGTGACCGTTATGATGCTGACCATTTCCTCTGTTTTTACTCTGGCTAGGACTAGTGACTAGCGCTCTGCTACTTCCCACATGATCATCTTCCTTTTACCTGCCCTGTGGCATACTGTCATTGGGCGAGTCCTGGGCCGTCAGCCTCTCGATGGCGACGGCATCGACGCCCATGAACCTCTGGAACCAAATCGGCGCCAGCACGGCTTCCACATCGGCCTCGTTTTCGAACGCTCGCAGATGACAGGGTTCTCGAGCGAGGTGTTGTGCAATTGCAGGCTTTTGGGTAGCATTGCACTCGCGACTAAGAGTGCCTGCAATTGTTCATCACTGGGTCCGTTTGTCCAGAAAGCTCGCCCCCCAAGCCCCTGGCCTGTGTGCAGCTGTAGGGCACGCACCTGAGAAAGGACAACAACATGCCTTCAGGCTGAGCCGCGGCACTTGGTTCTCACGAGCTGCACAGCAAGGGCTTGCAAGTGCAGCCGCAGCACAGGGTACTGCGGCGCGGTCCAAGCGAGGTCTGCACCTGCAGGCCGCGATCCAGGGGTTTACCCCAGCCTGCTCGATATCTCTCTGTGTGTTGCGAGGGGTTTCGAGACCGTCATCCCGAAAGCCTTTACCCCCATCCTCTTCGACGTCTATGTGCTGCGAGGGATTTCGACACCCACAGAACCAAAGCACAAGCGTTTGCCCCTTTCCTGTTCGACATCTATGTGTTGCCAGAGATTTAGAGAATGCCTCAAAGCACAGTTGCGACAAAGTGCTTAGCCCGATCTTGTTCGACATCTATGCGATAGGACAGCTGTCAAAGCCGTCAGCCCCAAGGCACAAGCATTTACCCCGATCCTGTTCGACTTCCATGTGTTTGGGAGAGGTTTCCAAAGCATGAGCCCGAAACACAAGTGTTTACCTCGATCATGCTCGACCTCTATGCGTGCGAAATTTAGACACCATCAACCCAAAGGTACGGGCGGTTCTACGCCGATCTTTTGGACCCTCTGACGTGACTACTGTCTGCTGCGAGGTATGTCGCGACGGTGAGTCCCCGAAGTGCAAGCGCTTAATCCGATGTTTTTTGAAACCAAAATGGCGCAAGAGAGCTCAAGGACAACAGTTTTCAATTTTCAAGCAGAAGAGCTTACCCCGATCCTGTTCGACATCTACTAGCATTTATTCCGATCCTGTTCGACATCTAGAAGCATTTATTCCGATCTTGTTCGACATCTGCAAGCATTTATTCCGATCCTGTTCGACATCTAGAAGCATTTATTCCGATCTTGTTCGACATCTGCAAGCAGTTATTCCCATCCTGTTCGACATTTATTTACAAGCATTTACTCCGATCCTGTTCGACATCTGCAAGCAGTTATGCCGATCCTGTTCGACATCTACTAGCATTTATTCCGATCCTGCTCGACATTTGCAAGCAGTTATTCCGATCCTTTTCGACATTTACAAGCATTTATTCCGATCCTGTTCGACATCTGCAAGCAGTTATTCCAATCCTGTTCGACATCTACTAGCATTTATTCCGATCCTGCTCGACATCTGCCAGCAGTTACTCCGATCCTGTTCGACATCTACTAGCATTTATTCCCATCCTGTTCGACATCTGCAGACAGTTATTCCGATCCTGTTCGACATCTACCAGCATTTATTCCGATCCTGCTCGACATCTAGAAGCATTTATTCCGATCCTGCTCGACATCTGGAAGCATTTATTCCGATCCTGTTCCACATCTGCAAGCAGTTATTCCGATCCTGTTCGACATCAAGAAGCATTTATCCCAATTCAGTCCGACGTCGACACAAGCATTCTCCTCGATCCCACTGGACATCTACACAAGCATTTACTCCAATCCTTTTCGACATCTACAAACATGAATCCCGATCCTGATCGAGATCTACAAGCATTCTCCCCGATGCAGCTTAACACCTACAAGCATTTACCCCGATCTTGTTCGATATCTGCAAGAATTCTCCCCGCTCCAGTTCGACATCTCCAAGCATTCCCCCGACCAAGTTCGACATCTACAAGCATTTAACCCGACCCGGTTCGACATCTGCTAGCATTCTCCCCGATCCTGTTCGACATCTACATGCATTTACCCAGATCTTGTCCGATATCTAATCGCACGTTCCCGGATCCTGTTCGATATCTACAAGCAGTTATTCCGACCCTGTTCGACATCCGCAAGCACTCTCCGCGATCCTTTCCGACATCTACAAGCATTCTCCCCGAGCCTGCTCGACATCTAGAAGCATTTACCCCGATCCTGCTCGACATCTGTGTTCTGCGAGAGACTTGCAACCTGCCCAGGTCCTCCACAGAAAGCAGGAGCGTTAAAGTAATGAAGCCGAAACACAAAGGAGCCTGAAACTTCAAACCTGCAGACTTGCCAGCATCATCGCACCCCATCTCGCAAATGAGATCGCGCCTCGCTGTGCCAGTAGCGGCCCCCGCTGCCCCAGCAGCCCAAGACCTCCAGCAGTCGTGCCGAGATCGGATCGAAAGCAAAACGCCTTCTCACAACTCAAGAAAGAGTAGGGCTTTTAGGGTTTAGGGTTTAGGGTTAGAGAAGGTTATGATACTGCGAGGTGGCCATGTAACACCTGCCCTGTCACCTTCTAATGTTTGAAGATGCCATCTTCGCAGATCCCGGCCACACTCCTGCATTGACTGCCCCATTCGTCGCCCAAGAATCTACACTACTGCATGGTTCCGCAGGCATTCGACCCAAATGCAAACTCATTCAAACACACAGACATGATTAGCTCGAGCAAAATTTAAAACCCTATGCACACGTTTGACTCCACAGGCGCCTGGCTACACGAATGTATGTACTTGAAACTCTCATTTCTGTCTAACACGGGCGTTTAGACGTACGGCTTGTGATACCCCTGCATGATGACCCTCTACAACAGCCACAGCGCAACAGGCCTTCGTTTCAGCATCGGTGACGAGCCTCAGCTGCTCGAAGCCTATTTGCTTGAGTCAGGTTGGAGTGCCAAAAGATCAAGACCGGCGTGAGCCCTCAAAGCAAAAAAACGGCAAGGCAGCTGCTTGACGGCACAGATGTTATAACCTAGAAGAAGCGTCCCATGCCCATCCATGCCTGTACTGACCCCTCCCCCTGTCCGAGATCTCACAGGAGCATGCTCCAAACCTCAACTACTATACACTTTATAACATATATATATATATATGCTGCATGGTATATTGATAACTGTACGCATTATATAACTACTAGCTAGTATGAAGCTTCAAAACCCGATCCAAGGCGCAGAGCCACGTCCGACGTCCCTGACACATCCCAGCTCGTGTGCTCTCGGTGGGCTTGAAGGCCGCCCGTCTGAGTTAGCTCCTTTGACAGATGTGTCTTGGTGATGACGTCACGTCGAGAGCGTGCAACGAAGACTCATCCTTTCGCTAGACAAGCAAGCAGTGTGGTCATTGTCTGGTTGCGATGGCCACCAAGCACAATCATCGTCCTCGTCGTCGACATGATCAAATCAACCTCTACACCACCATCATCATGGTCATGGTTGCAAAATGAATACAAGCGTGCTTCTCGTCACCCACATCATCGTCATCTTCCTCACAATCATCTGCAACAGCACACCCATTCTACAGACGTGGTGTCTTAGGAACAAAAAAACCTGAGGAATCCATGCGATCAGCATGTAGAGCAGAACTGACACACTTGCATGCGTGAGATCTTCAAGTCCCGCTTCCACTTGTGCTCGCCCCCCCTCCATCTCATCTGACCGCTTCAACAACCCACCACTGCACCGTCCAATCATGCTCCAAGTCCTTATGAGAGGCATACGACACCAGTCTGGATCTGCTTGCCCCAACGATGTCTCAGGACTCATGCAAGGGCTTGGGTGCCTTGCAGATGACGATTCGGAGGATGTTCTGAGCAGAACGGGAACCATGAGGAAGAAGCAATTCATTCGATTTATCTCGCTGGTGATGACAATGTGCTGGCTAACTGTCCACACCCCTCTGCACCTCTTCGCGCTGGGTGAAGCCCGCAAAGCTCTCTTCTTTCGACCTTGGGGGGCTTAGGTTTAGGGTTTAGGGTTTAGGGTGTAGGGTTGGGCAAACAGAGATAGACGACATGACCGCTGGCAAGAACAGTAGCAGCCGACCTAGAAACAACAAAGCGATGAGACTTTTGCAAACCCCGCGGATCCATGCCCCAAACCTTACGTTGTCGGCACCCTGAGTTCCTCTAGCCTCTTGCAACGCATCGCTTCAAAGCTGCTGCTCCCCAACAGCAACAACTCCGAACTGTCGTCATCATAGCTGCACACAAACTTGCACCGGTGGCTGCTACACAGACAATCGCCAGGCGAAGAATGATGCAGGGGGCGACTTCTAGGCCATCTCAGCAGGGGCACCCACCGTAGCCCGATGCGATCAGAAACGCTGAAGCAGATGACCGCCGGAATCGCTCGAAGTCCTGCTTCAGTGATGTCGACGAGTGACACAATCTACTTCTTCATACTTACCTCTACACAGGTGTGTAAACATGTGAACGCATGCAGGTGAGTGGTCGGTATTGTGTGCACGTGACTGCACGTATGGGACATCGCTCAAACTAGTGCTGTCAGGTGCGCTTGAGGTTTGCTGGCTCGCTTCGGATCATATGTAGGCACACTTGTGTGTGGTACATCGACACGCTAAAGGAACGGACATACCACGTTCTAATTCTATATCCAAATCTGTACGAAGAAACAGGGAGATGGTACGCTGTGCAGCAAGGACACAACAACCAATTTAATCGCGTCAACCTGGTACAAACAGGTGAAGACAACAGGACCCGAGATATCGCACCAAAAAACAAGCACAAGTCAGGTGAAGTACTAATACCGTGCTGGGCAGGGCAAAATGAGTCAAGAAGGAGACATCGAAGTCTCGGTCGGTAAACACGGCCTGTTGCGGTGTGAGATGTTACAACACTGTCAACACCAATACGTCGACGCACGCTGTGCGCCAATATGTCGAAGCATGCTGTGATCACCACAATCTCGAAACAGAGTGCCTGAACCCATATACAAGATGACTACACAAAAAATCAGAAAACATGTCGAAACTTGTCATGTGCTGTGTCACAGACTCAGGGCGCTCTCCTATGCTCTCCTTCGTAGCGATATCAATTCGAGGAGCTGCAAGACGCTGCGAGCCAATGCAACAATGGGACTCTTGCCGTCGCGACCTCCAGGTACTTCGCTCTGCAAAGTTCCCGGCAATCTTCACAAAGCCGTTGGCCTGGGTGCCAAAACAACCCTGCCAAATGAGCCGTTCCTACAAACTGATTCTTCTGGATATGCGCTCATGGTCTTTGTCTATCCAATTTTGCACTATCTCGCGTAAACTGGCGTATGCACATCCCTCTTTGATGGTCGATCATGCTATCATACTTCGGGCCTGCCAAAGCTTCCGCGTGTGGGATTTCGCATCATGTTCCAAGGTTTAGGCCGCAGACCCTGGTACATCCTAACTGCAGCATTTCAGAGACAGATTTTCTTTCTAGAGCCCCCTGCATACGTCAATAGTCTTCAGTCAACACAGACACACCCACCTACCGACCGACCGACCGACCAACCCGCATCACTCAAGTGTGTGGAATGAGCCTCCTGCTCTGCCAACGGCATGCTGGCTCTGCCTGCGACATGCACAAGCGCATGGTGGGAGGTCCGAGGAACTGAGTCTTGTGAAATGACGAGGTAGGTCTCGAGTATGCCGTCAGAAGCTTCGAAAGAAATCACCCCGATCTTCGAAGGCCGAGCTGCTTCTACAGCCCACAAGCCACGAACTCTGAACCGCCTCGCAAGCAGTCAGCAGCAAGGTCGCGCAAACCTCCTGGCAAAGATCTGGGAGCTTTTGCACTCTACCGCACACGCTGTTGAATGCGCTCATGCTTGGCGCATGCTCCACTGCTCGCGTGTATTTACATGTGCTGACATGTTGGGCTTCCTGCCATGGACTCACGGAGAACGACGGAAATTCTACAGGTGGTACGAAGGTACGCGAGCCGCAAAGTGCACAGCCAGAGAGTGCGCAAGAGAAGAGCTACGAAAAGCATGCTGCCGATCAACTTTTCACAAGCTGCGAGCTCAAGGCGGCGCCTTGTGAGGAGCAAGAGGGAGTCCTGCCAATGCCTCTGATACAGATACGGATATCCTCATCAGAAACATCGACCCACATCGCAATAATTAATCATCTGGTATCCTAAACCATCGCTTCCATTATTCTCATCAACGTCCTCCTGTGCCCCACCATTCTCATCATAGCAGCAACACCATCCTCCCCGGCCCAACACCCTGCTGCTCCGTCCTCTTCTTCCCGGATCGCATAGCAAGTGCCGGCCTTGAAGAGGGACGCTGTGCAGAACAAACAAGCAGATCATGGCATCTGCAACAGAACAGAGAATGCCGACTCTCCCCGGGATATCTCAGGCGTCATATGGCCGTGGCCATCGTGTTCGCTGAAAGTGGGACTTGCGGCCCGAACTTCGTCGCATTCGGGACCGCAGCAGCAGCGCTCCTGCTGGATTGTGAAAGTCTGAAACTCTGGGTGCGAGTAGGGGTTCTGAACTTCAGCTTCTGACATGTGCAGGCGATCAAGAGCCATGAGGAAGCCTTTGGAGCAAGGATCCTAAGACCAAGCGAGATCCGACCGTCTTTGAGGCCCCCAAGACTCCTGAACACGGAAGGTCAGGCAGACACAGAGAATCCTTCAACCAAGTTTAGTAGTTTAGGACTTAGGGTTTATAGGGTTTAGGAAACAGAGACCTTCTACCCCAAGGATGCTTCTCGCAACATGCTACAGCTCAACTTGCATTAGAAGACCCCCACTACGCTCGGGAGGTGAACCCAGACCTCTTGGTCGACGGCGACGCAGAGGACAAGCAAGGCTGAGGAAGCCGCACGCACATGCCTCCGAGTTGCTTTCGGAGAAGGCCTACCACATCGGAACTCGAAGGGCCATGTGCATTGAACCTCCGAGAAAGAACTCCGACCCGAACCCCGAAACATAGTTCATCAACTCTTAACCCCAAGGGCCGGCTCATCGAGCTGCGATCTCTTGCAGTTGGCCTCCGTCTCATGTCTCAGGACGGCGCATCCGGCGCCTTCAGGATCCAAAGTTCGGGCTCAGGGGTCCAGAGTCCAGAGGTTCCGGGCTCAAGATCAGGGATCTTTGTGTTCAGTGTGAATCAAAAGGGTTTGAAAAGCCCTGCGCCCAAGTAAAGAGACTTAAAAGAGCTTGTCTAGGCCGCCCAAAGGGGGGGGGGGCGGGAAAAGACCCTTAAAGCCCCGATCATGTGAGCCCCTGTCCGAGATTTCGCCTCTCCGAGCAGTTGCCAGGCGAGGGCGCGCAGCCATGGGTGCGCTGGAAAGCTCGGGGTTCGAGGGGTCGAACGGGTCCTCGGGCAGTCGCAGAAAAGCTTCTACTCAAAAGGCTGGGTTTCAGGCCTTCGCTGCTGACAAGTCTGTTTGGGCAGTTTCCTGCTCAGTTCCAGGGGTTTGCGGTGGAGGGTTTAGGGTTTAGGGTTTGGGGCTTGGGGTTTAGGGGGAGGGTACAGTCAGGAACCAAAACTGCAAGTCTTAGGTGCGTCTCTGTCTACGGGAGCGGGGCTTGCTTGTCTACATGCACAAGCTTCGAAGCCACGAGAAGCTGCAGCATGTAGGAGTCGGCAAGATCTGTGGAGCGAGCCTTGTAGTAGTTAAATGCATCTGCGTGTTCCGAGCATGAGAATGTATGTGTAGATGTCTTTATACCTATATCTATATCTGTATCCGTATCTGTGTCTATATTTATGCGCATATCTCTATCCATGACTATGTACCTGTACTTTCTGTGGCTATATCTATATCTGTATCTACAGGTCAGTATCTGTATCTACACCTATCTATTCACCTAACTGGCTATCCCTCGTTCTACCTGTCGATATACCCAACCGCCTATCCATCTATCTGTATGTATACATACCGTTTCTACCGATGCATCACAGTGTCTTTTCCCTATGAGCATCTATATGCTTACATATGTGTGTGTGTGCGTGTTTAGGCATGCGTCCATAAGATATCTGACCTCCTTGTCGCCGTCAGTGTAGTCATTCATATACTTGTATACGTATAGACTCCGCCCGGTGGTCCGGAGTTATTGTTTGGCAAGGGACATGCAGCACAGAATTCCGCATGTGATGTGCTCTATGCAGACCAAAAAATGCACGGCAAAGTAGCCATCTCAGCTGATTTTTAGGAGGGTCAGGAATGAGCACCCATAGACAACATGTGTGAATTAACAAAATCTGGTCCGTGATTGATATATCGCACATCATAGACTTGGCTTTACGTGTATACTACGATCGACATGGTGACGGCTGCATATAGCACAAGGCGAGACACGTCTTTCTGCAGGTGAACTGTATGCGTGCATGCGTGCGTGTCTGTGTTGATATGCAAAAGTATGTGTGAAGTGTGAATGTATATATGTGATATTTATGTATGTATGTCTGTGTGCATACATGTATGTATGTGTATTTATGTGTGTGTATGTGTATGTATGTGTATGTATGTGTACATGTGGCCGTATATGTATATCTGCACATGAACAGATTTGTGTATATCTGTATATGTATGTATTTGTATGATGGTGTATGTATGTATGTATGTATGTATGTATGTATGTATGTACGTAGGTATGTATGTATGTGTACATGTATATATACACACACGACCTAGGAAGAGCAGGATGCGCACATGCTATTTACACATACTGTAAGTGTGCGTGCCGACATGTATGCCACGATTTGCCATGCAGGATAAAGCAAGATACAGAAGAATCGTTGTGCTAAAAAGAGCAGGGTTAAGGCCGGTTACGGGTCGCATGAAGCCCTGAGTTAAGGAACGACCTGGCAAGGCGCCTTGAGCTTCGCAGCGTCTTTAAGGCAGTGGGTGTGAGCCACTCCACCTCCGTCCGCTTCAGAGGCGTCCACGTCCTCGAAGCCGGTTTAGGGTTCAGGGGTTCGGCTTTCAGCGTGTAGGTTTCCGGATTGAAGCTACAGGGTACACAGGAACACGGGCTTCAGAACTTGCCGGACGACCTGGAAATGAACCGAGTTGTGAGACAGCAACATGCTCTGTCTGGATGCGTCAGAGTGCAGACGTCAACTAACGAAACTCCTTCATCGGAAGCTTCTTGCAGCAGCAGAGTAATTGGGTGTGCTTTCTGCCGGCTTCGTGTTGCGACAAGACCTGGCTGGTTGCGGTGTGAGTCTATCGTTGTAAGACTTGCGACCAAGTGCCTGCATGTTCATTGACAACTACTTGGCGATCTCAAGTTTGTGGTATGGAATATGGTATACTGAGTATGCTGATGCCGTATATCGCATTTATATTTGTCTTCGGAAAGCTGACTTTCACTGGTTAAACGGGGCCATGACTCCAATCGGCAAAGGTGATGGTTTTGGTGGTGGGGTCGTGGGCTGGGCGGACACTACATTGTGGCGCAGATCTCCATCACTTGCGGTCCAAGACACTGGTACGCAGAGCCACTCAGCTTTCTGCACCTGGGCTGCTTCAGGACTGCAGGCTTGAACGGTTCACATTCACGCACATGTTGTACATGCATACAAGGTAGTATGACGACCTTTCTATCTGCCAGTCTATCTATCCAAGTCCGTGTCTCTCTCCCTGGGCTAATTTATCTACCTACATGCCTACATCTGCCTATCCATCTACAGATACTATAGAGGGAGTTGTCTGAGCTATCTGTCAACCACGATCGATCGACTGTTCATCCGCGTATAAGCAACACCATATTCCCCAATTTCCAAAAAATGTTCTGTGCATGCATGCATGTGCATACATATGTGTATATATATATATATATATATACATCTACATGTATGATATGTGTGCATATACATACATACATACATACATACATACATACATACATACGGTATTTCATAAGTATAGGTACAGTCACTCACCGAGTCTCTTGAAACTTCCAGACTCAAAGTCGGCCCCAGCTCAGCCTCTCTGAGCTGCGCACTTTATTTGAGTTACCATAATGGATCTATAGTAAACTAATATGGTTTCTTTATTATGGTAATTGAAATTAAATCCCCTAACAAGAACCCAGTTGAGCTGCGCACATGGAGCAGTGGCAATGCTGAAACTCACGAGGGCTCGCCGTGGTCCTGGCTCCGGAAAAATACCACGGATAGAGCACCGCGGCCAACTTAGGCTTTGTCCCACCATGCAAATTCAACACGATCATGGTCATGAGAAAGTCTGATAGGGATTTTGCCCGTATGTACATTTCTTGGCGAATACCCCATGCAAGGCTCCAAACCCTCAGCCCGAAACTTTTCACGGCACCTTCCTCAGCCCTGAAGCCTCCATCATCAAAGCCCCCCCGGATCCCCCACCCCGCCGGAAGCGGCACTTCCCGCAGAGGCAGGAACCCGTGGCCGGCAGCTGGGGCCGACAAGGAAAGGACTGCTGCCTGGTCTCGGAGTTTCGTGTATATTTAAGGCCATTTAGGGTGTAGGGTTTAGGGTTTTGGGTTTAGGGTACATTTTGGGTTCGTGAGCTGATCGACTTGATTTTTGAGTTGAGGGCTGTGCGGTTTTTTGTCAGGGTTGCTAAGGGCTTGATGCAACCTTGATGCAACCAGGCGGAGTTAGGGCCATCAGGGTATGATAAAGTGCCTCCTGCGTGGAGAAAGCGAAGAAATCTATCCATGCATCCGCACGTACATGCATGCATACATACATGCATACATACCTTAGATACTTATATCATCTATGTCATATTTTATATTTACATAAACTTACATGTCTACTTGCCCAGGCAGGCATACCTACGAAAGCGCATATGTGTGTACCTTTGCAAACAGGCGTGTGTCGTTGTACATGCGGTGGAGTGTTGATAACTAGTATCACCATGGTAAACCCCAACTATACACTCACCGATGATCAGAAAGAACCCTGTTTGCACTGGTAATCAGTATCAACCACGCTTCTTCATATGGGTGTTCACAGACACACATGTGCATACATCATGTGTGCATATGTATATTATACTCACGCCAAACTGCATTCATCACTCTCTACATGAGAGAGAGAGAGAGAGACATATATATATATATACACATACCTATACCTATACATATACATAGATGCAAATAAATGTATACTCACACACACACACACACACAAATAAACACATCACATCGAAGGCTGTAAAGGTATCACCATTTGGATCTGTCTGAGATTAGAAGACAACAAGCTAACGAAGAACTTTTCACTAGAACCTCTTCCTGCACCCCGAAAGCCCTGAGATTAAAAAAATAATTCTCTCTTTACAAGCAGTTGCTTAAGTGTCTCCAGAGCTCTCCTGACGGAACCCCTAAACCCTAAACCCTAAGCCCTAAACCCCAAAGCCCCTAAACCCTAAACCCCTAAACCCGCTAATCTGGCCGAGGGCACCTGACTGCCAGGGGCCCGAAAGGTGCGGGCGATTGCGTCGCCAGCTCCTATGAGGTCTCACGAGGCTCTACGTCTTCTGGGTTCTTGTTAAGGGATTGATTATATGTAAGTTACCCTAATAGGGATCTGTAGTAAATAATCGGGTTTCCTTGTTATGGTAACTTAAATTAAATCCCTTAACAACAACCCAGTCTTGCACACAATGCAATGCACTTGAGCCCTGGCGAATCGTGTCTCGCAGCTCCCGCAGCTACTTGTCGACCTCATGGTGCTTGCAACGCCTCCATCTCCGGCTTGAAGTTGCTCGGGAAGTGCTTGTCGGAGAGTATCTCGGCACAGAGTGGCTCTGCCCCAACCGCTGCGTCCCAGGCTCTGTGTTGCTTGCAGCGTAGGATCGGTGCAACGGACAACGATTGCGAATCAGACGTTCGGCCGAGCCCCGCGCCCCCACAGCCAGGAGGAAGACCACCTTCGGCTGCTCGATGTGCAGAGTTTTTGTCGTGAAAACATGGGTTTGGGAGTGCCTCCTTGGCTAGGCTAGTGGCTTTGGCTTCGCGAAGACAAGTAGATGAGACTCATGGATGTGCGGCTTCCGGCATGGAGTT